AATTACATGTGTTAAGTCCATTAAAATTCCTTAAAATGCTCTCGAGCTACCACATGGCGCTCTAATAAATTAGAGAAAATATCATAAATTCTAAGAGAAAAAAAGCAAAGTATATATTACTTGATTTTTACTTAAATCGGTAGGTCCTATATTATAAACCGTTAGATTAAATTGATCTTAGAACAAACTAAATACTACGAGGTCCGACCTCTCTACCTTCACAGTCCCACCTCTCCTCCCGTGGCATAGGTATGCACCTACGTACATGGGTATGTATGCTTCCCCTTCCTTTTTTGTCATTTGCCCCTTCTTCTTTTTCCATGCATACACTTCTCTCCATTTTTTACTATATCATATGCCTTCAAGAGACTATTTACTTATAAGAATTTTGATTAGTTTGCTCTAGCATTTTTTATTTGTGGCCAAACTACACGGTATGTATATAGATGAACTGTCTGATAATTAACTAGCAATAGTTTATTATTTACTCGAGAAAATGAACCATGATTCAAAAGTCAAGTACTCAATCCATCTCCTACTCAAAAGTTTGTGAATGTTTTTTTAAAATATCTTAAGAAAAATAGAACTCTTAAATTATTATAAAATAACATTATCCGAACGTTAGTTTGCTCTTAATTTGAGGCAAAATTTTTGAACAATTACCTTTCAATAATACAAGTGCCCACGCATGCGCGCGGGCCACCTTCCTAGTGTATAGAATAATACAAAAAATGATAATTTTGTCTTATCCAATAGACTGATACAATAAACAAACACCACAATAGTGTTTTCAAATTTTAGAGAGTAATCTAATGTTTCATTTTAAGTATTATTTAAGGTAGGTGTTGAATTGTATGTTTAGCTATTAAAAAATACCGAGTTACTTAAAAAGTAATGTTATATTTAGCGAGGTAAATTGGTCCAAGAAACCAATTCTTGCTCCATGGTGTAGCATCGAGTGGCATCATTGTGACTTGCCGAATTAAAATCCCTTGGGTTCACGGAACTAGAGCTGGGCGTATAAAGCAGTAATGGATCAATTTCATTTTCCCTGCTTACTTCTACTCTATTCTTCTTCTTTGCTACTTTACTCCTCAGAAGTTGCAGCCTTAGCTCCACTTCTTTCATTTTTGGTCTCTGTTCTCCTCTAAGCCTCAAGCATATCTCTGCAAGCGAAGCAATCTCATCAATTTCCCACTGGTCTGCTTCTTCCAAAACCTGTACATCTACTATTTCTGATGTGGTATTGTTTTGCTGTCTTTGAAGAAAGTGATGACACAGGTTCTGCTTTTCTCCAATTGAATTGAGGAAGATTGGCCTTTTCCTTGTTATAAGCTCAATAAGTATTACACCAAAACTGTAAACGTCACTCTTCTCATTTAATTGTCCTGTATGATAATATTCAGGATCCAAGTATCCAAATGTACCTTGCACTATTGTGACCACGTGAGTTTCATCAATAGAAACAGATCTTGAAGCACCAAAATCTGAAACCTTTGTAGTGAAATTATCATCGAGAAGTATATTGGCAGATTTCACATCTCTATGAAATATTGGTACCGAGGCAGCACAATGGAGATAGGCAAGAGCGCTTGCAGCCTCAAGGGCAATTCTGATGCGATTCCACCATGTTAATACACATTTGCTTTGCAAATTACCATGGAGAAGATCATATAGTGTCCCATTTGATATGAACTCATAAACAAGTAGAGGAACCTCGGATTCTAAGCAACAGCCAAAAAGCTTGACCACATTACGATGGATGATTTGAGATAACATAGCAACTTCATTGACAAACTGATCAATCTCACTCTGCTCCACAATTTTGGATTTTTTTATTGCTACTACGCGTTGGTCAGATAAAATGCCCTTGTAAACAGTGCCATGGCCTCCACTACCGAGAATCCGTGTTGAGTCAAAATTGTTTGTTGCCTTCTCTAATTCATCTAAAGAAAATATCTTTGTCTTATGCGCAACACTGTCATCACAAGAAATCAATTGTTCCAATAGTAAACCTTTATTTTTATGGAAGTAATCCCTTCTAATTTTCTTTTGAATGCCTCTCTTCCACCTCCAAAATAACATTGTCACACTTAAGGTAAGAATTAACACTCCAAAGCCACAGCTAAGTCCACTGGCAATTCCTACATACATAGGTAATTAATATGGTTATGCTTCGTACTTGACTGTGATCTTATTGAAAAGGGATCGGTTAAAGTGAGAAATACCCAAGACAATATTATGTTGCTTGGTGGAAGTGCATTTCCTTTCGGCTGGATCGAAAGATGTGCCATGAGGGCAACGAGTGCAACTGTAGCCTCCTGCTTGGTTGTGGCACATTCCCTTACAATCATTGGGTATCGAGCACTCGTCAATATCTGCAAAACAAATATACAATGGCTACTAATTGAAGTTCATAATAACGATTTTTGTCGATATTGGCAACAAACTGGTTTCTTACCTATGCAACCGTTATGTACGTACGGATTTCCTTCGTAGCCAGTAGAGCACTTGCAACGATATCCCAAATGCACATGTCCATGCGTGACACCAGTACACTCACCGTTGGTGCTAATGCAGGCATAAGCAGATGATTTTTTAGCCTTTTCACAAGTCATGTTGGTCACAAACCACTTCCAAATACCGTAATGCTGAGAGACGTCAAAATCGTTGAATTCGTCAATCCAGGACTCCACCCACTGTGAGATGTTATCTCTGCTTATTTCTACCAATTCTGAGTAGGCCTCTTCGTGCTGAGAAAAGTTGACAAACAGAAGCCCTTGATCTAGTGAAATATTCGTCACTTGATATTGCGTGTATGATCCTCCAATAAATGCTTGCTTGGAAGTACAATTCAGAAGGAATTTTCTATTTGCGGAGCATTCTTCTTGGAGCCCGAAGGGGAAAGGAATAGTCATATTGCCACATGACCTAGAACAATTCTGCCTGTTTCGAGTGGGTTCATACCCTGTTCCATTTTTTAAAAAATATATATTATTGAACATTTATATTCTGGCCAAGCAGTAACAAAGATATATATAAAATACTATATATACAATGGGGCCCGAAGGATTCAAATACTCACATTTAGATTAAATTTGAGCCTTTTTTGAAAACAGATAATGTCTTAGTAATTTTTCAAATGATACACATAACTTTAGAGAAAATAACTCAAATTCAAAGATCTTTGAAGTTTTAATCACATTACTAGAGGACGAAATATTAGCATGACAAATACCTACAATCAAACGATCGATCACTAACAAATAATTTATAGTTTCACATTCAATTGAAATTTGCTTGAACTAGTTAGAAAACAAGCTAAACTTTCAATTCTAAAAGCTTTGATAGATTTTCATAAATGCTTGTATAAGAATCCCCAACATCAGTTTTCAACAACACAAAAGCTAAAGGTTCCCACATTAATTAGAGAAAACTCTAGAAATTTCCACTTTAATAGAAAATTTTAAAAAAAACTTTAAGCGTCCATCTATCACATCTACAGGACTACAACTATAGCTGAGATAATATAAGATATAACGGTAATAAATGAAACTATAAGTATTTGAAAATTATTGATGGGCAAGATATTTTTATTAAAAATAGTATAAAATACAGTGTTCACTAATTAAATTAAAATTAGTTAATATAGATCATAAATTGGTAAGTTAATGGTACAAAACATAATTGCATAACATTTATTTTAAACAGCGTGTTTTTAAAATTTTTGATACAAAATAATGGTTTGATATAATAGGTACAACGGTTTAAGTAAACAAAAAAAATATTATATTGTTAATATCATGGGTAAAATAATATAGTTTTATAAAATTTATTTCCAAACATTGTGGAGCTAATTAGACATATATATGATGATATGTATAATTTATGTTTATAAAGTTATAATTTCTTAAAATTTATTATCACTAATAATAATTACGATTTCATCTATACGTGAGGAGAGAAGAAGGAAGCAAATGTACGTTTTAATGATATAAGTAATTGATTTTTTTTATGTTTTTTGCACTTTATATTTTTAAACTGTACGTTACATTACAGTTGTATATGTATTTTCGGTTTTTTTATAAGTTGTACGCACGTACCTTTCTCTAGTCGTTACGTTGATGGAGATTAGGACAGATTATTAATAGATTTATTCTAATGGTCCGAGATAACGGATCCATCAATTTAAATAAAAAATAATGGTTAGATCTTTTAGTTTTTCTCACATTTTCTAGATTTTTTTAGACTGTATTTTTGCAACTTAAAATATACTTAATATGAATATTGATTTTCTATCTCATCTAACCAAGAAGGGGAGAAAAGAAAAAAGAAAGAAAGAACAAAGAGGGTACGTACATATGTACGTGCACGTCCACATGAAGAGATATAGCACATTTTCTACGTATGATTTTTTTTAGATTAACGTAATTTGAAAATCTTAATATTAAGAAAGTTAGCTAAAAATAAGAGAGAAGGGGAGAGTTGGAGGTTGGACAGAGGGAAGGGGAGGGAGTACGTACTTGCGGACGTATAGTGGAGGTGAAGGCTACCGGATTTTTAATTTTAGGGAGGTCTAATGGTTAAAATTAATGGGTCCACCGATTTAATAAAAAATCAACAGATTTTTTTAATTTATTATAACGCCATTTGATAACTTAGGAGCTGAGTCCCACCTGGCGGCTTGGGAGTGACGTAAGCTTGATTGTTTTTCAGTCGTACGTACGTATTTATGGAGTACTTATATTTTTGTTTTTTTTGCCAACAGTATAGTATTTGATTCCTTTAAATAAAATACATCTAATCTAATCTAATGGTCTAAATTATCGGGTCCATCGATTTAAGTAAAAATCGACGGTGAGATTAGACGCTGTCACGTGGCGGTCTAGGAACGTTTGTAAAAGTGCCACGTAGCGGTTTAAGAGCGTTTGTAAGAAGTTTAATGGACTTTTAAGTATATAATAGAATAGATATGGTCTATAAAGTGAACGGATTTGCTATCACCTAGTCCAATATGCAACTTACGTAATAAGAATAGGTCCAAATTAAAGTGTAACTTTAAAGAAGGCCACATATAACTACTACTCCCTCCATCCCATAATATAAGGGATTTTGAGTTTTTGCTTGCACTGTTTGACCACTCGTCTTATTCAAAAAATTTGTGCAAATATAAAAAACGAAAAGTTGTGCTTAAAGAACTTTGGATAATAAAGTAAGTAAAAAAAATAAATAATGATTCTAAATTTTTTTGAATAAGACGAGTGGTTAAACAGCGCAAGTAAACACTCAAAAAATCTCTTATATTATAGGACGGACGGAGGGAGTACATCAGTACGAAGTACGTGCCACTGGTGGAGAAACCATCTTTCGTCGGTCGGTCGAATTCCACGATAGTCCCGGTTGCAACAAAAACCGGGACTAAAGATGATCTTTAGTCCCGGTTAAAAAGGGTAACGGGCATATTTGATCTTTAGTCCCGGTTGGTAACAGATTAGTCCCGGTTCAAATGCTGTCAGGGCTTGTCAGGCCCCCCCGGGATCTTTGGCCCCGGTTGGTGTTACCAACCGGGACTAAAGTTCCACCCCTTTATATATGTCTTCTTCCTCCTCTAGCCCGAGCAAGCTTCAAAATTTCTTCAAAAAAGAGGGGAGGTCTTGCCAAAATTTATAGTGAATTTACTTTGGTGATTATATACAAATCGGAGATGCCTAAAAGGTTAGCAACTTCATTCTCCAATGTTTTTTTGGCCATATTACATTTGGAGCTATGTTTTGCAGACTTTTTTGTCTCAAAAATTTTGTTGTAAGTTGATGAGAGAGAAAATTTGTGTGGGAAAAGAAAGAATATATAGAAATTTTGTTTATTTGCTAAATAAGGTTTTATAAAATAGTTGAGTAGGAAAATATAGTGAAAGTTAATCTTAAATAAAAGAAAACAAACTAAATTGAAAATTAAAAGAATTTAAAACTTAAAAAATAATAAATAAGAATTATTTGGTGGAATATTTTATAATTTTTGTATGAATAATGATATGTCATTATTGTATGACTGTTGAAAGAGTTTGTGATTATTTTATCATTATTGTATGACTGTCATTATTATACGAATGATTATTTGTGTACGATTTTTTTTTCATTTCATGTAGATGGATCGGCAATGGATGTACGCTGACCGGCGGTCCAAAGAGTTTATTGATGGTGTGCATTATTTTTTGAGAGTGGCCGAAGCTAACAAGCAGAAGGGTTTTATTTGTTGTCCATGTAATAAGTGTAAGAATCAGAAGGAGTATTCTGCATCCAGGACTATTCATTTCCACTTGTTTGAGTCGGGGTTCATGCCAAGCTATAATTGTTGGACATCCCACGGAGAGCAAGGGGTTGAAATGGAAGAAGATGAAGTGGAAGACGACAATATTCCAGACTTTGCTCAGTACGCTGGATTTGAAGGAAATCAAACGGGCGAGGAGGACATAGATGCTGATTATAACGACGTTGCGGATGATCTTGGTCAGATGTTGCAGGATGCCAAGGAGGACTGCGAAAGTGAAAAGGGGGCCCATAAATTGGACAAGATGTTAGAGGACCACAGAACGTCGTTGTACCCAGGTTGCGAGCAGGGGCACAAAAAGTTGGATACCACTCTGGAGTTCTTGCAAAGGAAGGCAAAAAATGGTGTTAGTGACAAGGCATTTGGCGATTTATTGAAACTCGTCAAGAACATTCTTCCGGAGGGAAACAAATTGCCCGAGACAACGTACGAGGCTAAGAAGATAGTCTGCCCTCTAGGACTGGAAGTTCAGAAGATTCACGCATGTCCAAATGATTGTATCCTATATCACGGTGAGGAGTACGAGAACCTAGAAGCATGCCCTGTTTGTAAAGCACTATGATACAAGATTAGACGAGATGATCCAGGTGAGGTTGACGGGCAGCTAACGAAGAAGAGAATTCCTGCTAAGGTGATGTGGTATTTCCCTATAATACCACGGCTAAGACGTTTGTTCAGGAACAAGGGGAATGCTAGAATGATGCGTTGGCACGCTGAAGAACGTCAACAGGACGGGATGCTGAGACACCCCGCAGATGGTTCGCAGTGGCGAAACATCGACAGAAAATTTAAAGACTTTGGAAATGACGCACGAAACATACGGTTTGGTTTAAGTACGGATGGCATGAATCCTTTTGGAGAGATGAGCAGCGGTCATAGCACTTGGCCCGTTACGATGTGTATCTACAACCTCCCCTTTGACTATGCATGAAGAGGAAGTACATAATAATGCCGATTATTATTCAAGGCCCCAAGCAACCTGGTAACGACATCGATGTGTTCTTAAGACCACTGGTCGAAGATCTTAAACTGTTGTGGAAGAAGGAAGGTGTCCCCGTGTGGGACGAGGACAAACAGGAGGAGTTTAACCTACGAGCGCTACTGTTCGTAACCATCAACGATTGGCCTGCACTTAGCAACTTATCCAGGCAGTCCAACAAGGGGTACAAGGCTTGCACTCACTGTATGGATGAAACAGAAAGTACGTATCTTAAGCACTGTAGGAAGGTTGTGTACATGGGTCATCGTCGATTCCTTGCAGCAAACCACTCGGTACGGAAGAAAGGCAAGCACTTTGAACATACGGCGGACAACCGTACGAAGCCTAAACATCGCAGCGGAAAAATAGTGTTTGCTATGGTTAAAGATCTTAAAGTAGTGTTTGGAAAGGGGCCTGGCAGCTAGCCTATAGAGAGCGAAGATGGTCACGCGGCGATGTGGAAAAAAACTCCATATTTTGGAAGTTACCCTATTGGGAATTCTTGGACGTCCGCGATGCAATCGACGTGATGCACCTCACTAAGAATCTTTGCGTAAACCTTCTTGGCTTCCTAGGTGTATATGGAAAGTCGAAAGATACACTGGAAGCACGTAATGATCTGAAGCATATGGAACAACGCGGTGACCTTCACCCGGAACCACAGGAGAAAGGCAGCCATTACTTGAGTCCAGCCAGCTACACTCTTAGCAAGGCAGAGAAGGAAAGTATGTTTCAATGCTTGGAGAGCATCAAGGTACCGTCTGGATACTCCATGAATATAAAGCGAATAATAAGCACGAAGGAGAAGAAGTTCACAAACCTAAAGTCTCATGACTGTCACGTGTTGATGACACAGCTGCTACCAGTTATAATAAGGGGTATCCTCCCAGACAATGTCCGGGCAACAATAACAAAGCTATGTTCTTTCATGAACGCAATTTCGCAGAAGGTCATCGATCCGGATAGGTTAGAAGCCCTTCAGAATGATGTGGTGCAATGTCTTGTCAGTTTTGAGTTGATATTTCCACCTTCATTTTTCAATATAATGACGCATCTACTTTGTCACCTAGTGAAAGAGATTGGTATTCTCGGGCCTGTGTTCCTATACAACATGTTTTCTTTCGAGAGGTACATGGGCATTCTGAAGAAGTATGTTCGAAACCGTGCTCGTCCAGAGGCAAGCATCGCCAAGGGGTATGGAACAGAGGAGGTCATTGAATTCTGCGTAGAATTTATTGAAGACCTTCGCCCAATCGGGGTACTTGAATCACGCCATGAAGGGAGACTACGGGGAAAGGGGACTCTCGGAAGGAAAGCAATAATGATGGTAGATAACAATTTATTCCGTAAAGCCCATTTCACGGTTTTACAACAATCTTCATTGGTGGCTCCTTACATCGAGGAGCACTTGGCTCTAGTTCGCGCCAGAAACATCGGTAAGTCCGATGCATGGATTACACGGCATCACATTTATATTTTCCCCACATGGGTGCGACAACATCTCATGGGTAACGAGACGATTAACTAGCAACTGGCCTTCCTGGCGAGGGGTCCATCTGGCTCGACCGCGACATTCCAGGGATATGAGATCAATGGGTACACATTCTACACAAGAGCCCAAAACATGAAGAGCACGAACCAGAACAATGTTGTTCGTATCGATGCCATGGGACACGATGGTACAACTGGCACGTATTACGGTGCCATCGAGGAGATATGGGAACTTGACTATGGACCTCTCAAGGTCCCTCTGTTCCGGTGCCAATGGATTAGGTTGACTGGTGGAGGCGTAACGATTGATGACAGTGGGATGACAACGGTTGACCTTAACAAGGTTGGATACTCGGACGAACCTTTTGTCCTTGCCAATGATGTAACACAAGTTTTTTACGTGAAGGACATGTCTAGCAAAGGAAAGAAGGGCAAAGGGCCTGACGAGCCGAAGTGCCACGTGGTTCTCCCAGGCAAAAGAAAAACTGTCGGAGTAGAGGACAAGACTGACGAGGATTACGATCAGTTTGATAGGCAACCCCCTTTCACGGTGATGGTTGACCCTAGCATCCTCCTATCAAACGAAGACACCCTTTACTCACGTAGCGATTACAAGGAAGGAACAATAGTGAGGAGAAAGTACGTGCGGACAACCGTCACCGCCGATCTATTGCCGTAATTGTTGTAAACTATTTTGAATGTATTGAATATGCTAGTTAGATATGATTAATTACAATTTTTAACAATTTAATATCATGCATATACTAATTACATACGATTATTAGAATTTTTAAAAGTTTTAAATCATGCATGTGGGATTTACATATGTTAGTTACAATTTTTAACAATTTAATATCATGAATATGCTAATTATATACGATTATTAGAATTTTTAAAAGTTTTAAATCATGCATGTGGGATTTACATATGTTAGTTACAATTTTTAACAATTTAATATCATGCATATGCTAATTATATATGATTATTAGAATTTTTAAAAGTTTTAAATCATGCATGTGGGATTTACATATGTTAATTAGAATTTTTAATGCATTATTTACTATTTTAGAAACATATATGCAATGAAATTCAATATTCAGTGCTATTAACTTTAGTCCCGGTTCTTAACCCTAACCGGGTTTAAAAAAGAATTTGGAAATAGCGGGAAAATATCTTTACTCCCGGTTGGTGAGAAGAACTGGGAGTA